CCAGCATACGCAACAGGTGGTAGTCAAGTTGTCATCTGAAACAATCCTCCATCTGCGCTACAACGACGGACCCCGGTAATCGTTTGCAGTCATCTACAAGGCCGGTGGATAGCACAAAATTGGACCACACTCTGAGCCTCCTTGGTTTGAATAAATTCCATCCGTCACCTTTGGTCGAACGCCCAACGTTGCTATCAAAGATATCTTGCAACCGTCTCCCCAGCGCTCCTCGAAGAATAGGTTGGATGAGAATAAAATCCAGAGAAAAAAGATTCAAATATCGTAGCCAATGAAGATAGGTCAGGTTATGTAACTCATAGACGGACTTCGAACCACGCCGTTTGACCTCCTCACTTATGTCACGCTCAGTTGGTGAGCGGATAGGCAGCAAGAAGACCATATTCAGGAATCTGGCTCACATATGAGGTGAATAAGTGTCTGAAGAGCTCCAGCATCAGGTGCAGAAGCCTCTTCCTATGGCGCGAAACATCCAGTTGGCAGAATCAACCCTCTTCATGGTGCCCTGACTGGATCTTAAGGCTGGGGAACACAATTACGCCAAGGTCTCTCTCTGATGTGACATTTTTGAACAAGTAATTACCTATGTGCTAAGGACCGAATGGTTCAGGAGCGCCAATAAGCAGGACGGAACACTTCTCTTGATTAACGGGCAAACGCCACTGGATCGACCACTTGTACAGGAGATCGATTGGCTCTTGTAATCGATCAGCATCACCTCTGTACATATCTTCTAGTCATCCGCATAAACCAAGCAATCCGACTGATGTTCGGAAAACAGATCGTTGATGAAGATAGTGAGGCATTCATGGCTAAGGACGGAGCCCTGTGGGACACTACCAGTCATGTATACAGGATCTGAAAACGTTTGGTGCACTTGTACCAGCATGAAGCGACTGTACAGAAAATCGGAAATTCAACAGAAGTTCCCAGCAACGCCTATTCTTCGGAGCTTGTAAAGGAGCCATTCCTGCGGGACTTTATTATAGGCCCTACGGAAGTCCACAAACACAACATACAGGTGATTGCCGACATCCAATGAAATTGCCTATTTCTCCTTAGCCAAAAGGAAGTTGGTGGAGCATGAGCGAGCTTTGCGAAAACCGGGCCGGACACAGGATATCAGATTCGACCTCTCGAGATGAAGGCGTAGTGTACGTTACAGGACCCGCTTCATGACTTGCACACTATCGGTGTTAGACAAACAAGACGGTACCTAGCTGGATCCTGACCGCACCCTTGTTTGTAAATGGGCTTGATGATGCACGTCTTCCAAGTGGTCGGGAGAGGACCGGACTTAAACGATCGACGAAAGATTTGCGAGATAGGTGCAACGATGTACTCAGTCGCAGTTTTGAGGAACAAGGGGTGTGAGCTATCAGGACCAGGCGAATGAGTAAGGATCCAAATAAGAGAGAAGTTTCAACACGACGCCAGTGTTACTTTTGAAGTGCTCTAACAGTGATGAGCGAACATACAAAACTGTCAGAGAACGACGTTTCCGTCGAGCGCACTGAAGAGTATTTCCGCACCAGCAGAATCGCTTTGTCAGTGTCTTCGTGAACTGAAGTCCCATGCTCACAGGTTCACAAGGCTGGGATGCGGCTGTCAGCTCTGCTGCTCCGTTGGAGGTAGGAGAAGGGCGTACTGGAAGTCGTGCGTGGGAGAGTTCATATTGTTGACGTTTTTCACATTTTTTCAAGGTACAGGCATTCTTGACCGTTTTGTAACCAAGGTAGTCGTGCGCTGATTTCGTGAGCCTGAAGCGGTCCCAGAATTTCCGTCTTCTGTTCATCTGGAATCTTAACTCAATCTATCCACGGACGACCTCCAGAGAGTGTCAATCTTTTGAAGATGGGAATCACTTTTCACTGAGTGGTGTTAACTTGGAGTACAGAAGATGCTAGGCATCGACTGCATTGAGGTGTTCGGGAATACCCTAATCCCTAACCCTTGCAGCGGCTTTGGGAAAACGGGCATCGGCATGCCATAAATTCCGACGGATGGCACATAGGTTGGGAATAGCGAAGCGACGTGTCCATTGGAAGGAGACCGTACAAAGATCACTTCTACCGATGAGCTGAAGGATTGTAAGGTCAGTGACGCATGACTAACCTGAGGAGAGCACAAGATCCAGGGTGTGGGGCTGCTGGTTGGTGATAATACGGATCGGCATGGAGGCATGCTTAAACAGACGGCAATCGAGGACTGTACCGATCAACGCTGCATCAAAGGAATCTGGTAAATGCTTGCAAAGAAGGAGGTTTCATTCGATATTAGGAGTATTGAAACATCCCAAGCTATGACAGTACTTTCCTACCCCATGCTTCCTGATCAATTCCAACAAACAAGCTCCGGCTCTCAGTGGTGCTCTGTAGATGACACCAATCAAGGAAGATCTGCATCCGTCATGAACACGGCACCAGATGGCATCGATATCACGGTCACTTGCATAGAAAACCTCAACTTCATGGACCTTCAGATCGTCTCTTCAGTAATTACGCCGTCTACCGAATTCCATCCATGACGATCAGTCGAGAAAGATGGTGTCCAGAGATGGATACTTCAAAGCCCATGATATCTGAGAACAACCAAGTTTCGGTGAAGGCCATTAAGTCAGAACAAACACTGCGGCAAAATCTGGACCTCACCGAATTTACATCGCAAAGTGCGTACTCTAGCGAACAACACACCCAGTCCGTTCTTATGCGTTACTGTTCTGGGGTGAATAGAATCGGCCTCCCACGGTTTCGCGGAAGTTTGCAGACTAGGCGAAAATCTACGACGTGGAGTTCCGTTTCATCACTCCCCAGGCGGATTATTAGCTTCTCAACAGCTTTTTCATTTTGATCCGATCCTCTGGGAAGAGATCTCTCATGACGTAGGGTCCGTCGGAGAATTCACTTACATTCTCCCCTGTCTTGGTAAACAACCTTAAGGGAGAGAGCCTTTAGGGAATCTTCTTGCTTCCTACCCAAGCGAAAGGCCGAGGTATTGTTGCTTCACTGTTTGCTTTCGTCGAATAAAACAAAAACAGCCGTTCAAGGAACAGCTGGTCGTCCAATATCTTTCAGGCTGGGATATTTTCGTTCGATTCAGGTGGGTTCATGATGATGAGACATCGATCACGGGAGAGCGCTTGGGTACACCTGGGATCTTTGTTTGAGGAGGATTTGGACTGCGTTCGGGCAACTTTTCTAACTGCTTACTCTTGTCAAGAACATCTTTCATCTGGGACTGAGAGGCGGATGACTTAGATTTAGACTTTGACTTTGACATAACGTTACACATGGCTTAGCACTGGACAACTGAGGCGGTAGTGCTTTCCTTTAAAACCGCAGCATATGTCTTGGTTGTGGGCTTGCGGTGATGGACTGCGTCAATAGTTCCCTGTAAGAGTCAGACGGCATGCGACTTCGCTTATCTGTGGGGATGATTGGGACGGAGATAGAAGAGGGAGAATGAGGAAGAAGGAGAGAGTCATGTTTGGCGGGTGCATTGGAATTAATCGTAGTGGGGGAGGGTTGCGCGAGGTGAGTTCATTTACATGACAGAGAAGTCATCAATTGTAGACTTTGTATTGATCCAGACCGGTGCCACAGCAAGCAATGTGCATCCATCCGTCAAAATCAGAGGAATTTACGGCTTTTGAACGAGAGATGACACCTTTGCTACAGGTTAGGCATTTGTAATTCATGAATGTAGTTTGGACAGAAGACTGTGGAATCGATGAGATTTAATGCCGAAGGAAACAAAAGCAATAAATGTAGATTCCCTTACCGCGTAGTACAACGAAGACTCTTTCCTTGAAGATATACCAAGGTGTGGGCCGACTTTGTATCAGTGGTAGCTCTCGTCAACTCGCCTTCCAGTCTTATTCCCTCATGTTTCCCCTGCCGATGTGGTGTGTAGATGAAGGCGGAAGTGGTGTGGTCCATCAGTAGCAGCAGGCGCACAGTGGTTGTCTTCAGTCGAAGTAGTAGGCAGCTCCGAAAACGAACGCCGACAAACATATGATCAAAAAATGAATTCAGTGAGAATAAAACTCATCACGATTGCAACCCCATAGTCTATCTCAGTTAGCTGAACCTGCGCTAGCCGGAGAAAGAACAAACAACGGCACAGTATCTTCTGGCCGTGGAAATTAGAAGCATCCTACCAAGACTTTCCTATTTTTCATTTAATCTTGGATCAGTAATGGATTCTGAGCTGATACATGCAAATGCAAATCCATCATTGCAGATTGTTGACGCATTAGCAACGTGCCAAAGGCAGCATAATGTACAGGGGCACATATTTTGCAGGCGGGGTCCACAGTCGCGTCACTATTCCGTATAAACTCTTCAGAGCGGTCGGTTCAACAGGTCTATACTGTTGGTGTGTTGTAACAAACAGTCTTGCTTTGTTCAGTCACCAAAATCCGGAGCGAATAATACTGTCTAGTCATGCTTATATTGGAAGGATATGGTTTTATATTGAGGACAAAATACAATCCTTTCCATTCAGGCTCGCTAACCCAGGCACTGAGGGACAGAACGTCTTGTTCATTCGACGAACTTGTCCTGGCGGTAAGCAAGGCCTGTGGTACCATTTATACGCCATAAAAAGAAGGCCCAGAAACGTTTTTGCAACAATGAATCAAGAGCAAAATAAATTGATGACAAAAGTGGGGGCATTGCTTGTTCAATTTTAACGGGTTATTTATCATACATCTGTCTATATGACCTACCGATACTCTAAGCGTTGTAAAATGTGTTTCACAGTGTACAAGTATTTCGAGTGCAGGTCGTTTGTGCTGAGCGCGTGTTAATCGCTGGCCGGATTGGCTTACTAAAACATTTCAGGCCTTGCAGGCTAAGCAACATGATCGATCATTGACAGTGTGTGTAACTTTGCTAAACATGTGTTCGGCCTGTAGCTGCACCCTCTTGTTCCGTATACTAGATGTATAATATCACAAAGAACAATAAAAATATGCATATCCTTAAACATGGTACATTTTGCGAAGGGAATCAAAGGCAGTTTCCAAATATGCCTTTCAACGATGTGATCAAGATTGATGCGCCGTGGGTTCGGCGTGTCAAGTAAAGAATGAAAGAGCAACGAAAAACAGAGAACTCTTTGTGTCAACGAGATATGTGGAAAAGCAGAACACTCGGGGTTCTAGTGGTTCTTTGGAAGCGTCATATGGTCAATTCATAGTGCGAGACACAATGAGATTACAACGGTTATGACAAGGATGGCGATTCCCAATGCGATCCATTTGATATATTTCTGAATTGGGTGAACAGCATGTTTATTGATTTTCTTGAATTGTTTCGCCTGTAGGTGAGAGAGAGCAAACACCGAAAAGGAAATTCGGCTGCAACACCAGTTGGGAAAGAGTTCCATTAGCAGTCTATCGCTAGAATTCAACCCTATATTATGCAACCGCACCACAGCTGGAGCCTGCCCTTACTGAATAATAAGATGGCAGCTGTACGGTAAGGCAACAAAACTAAAAGGTAAACTCCGTGAACAGATAGCACCTGCGGTGTTAAATATGATATTAATGGTAGCGTATTCCCAAACACAGGTGGAACACAACCTCTATGACAAGGTGCGAGATTCCAGGTTTACTTGGAAGGAAGACGGATATTGGCAGCTAGAATGAATACTGAAGGTGCTTATTTTGATTTTTTAAAATAGTGTGAAGCGCCACCTTCTAACAACAATCTGTAACAGTAATGTCAGCACAACATCATTTTTACACGAATAAGTACACAGCGGGAAGACTATCCACTTACTGGCTCCTGTGTTTCCGACTCAGACCAGGCTATGATGCGGTCAGATGTAAAGAGTTGAACGCTCACTAACACCGAGTGTACCGATATCAATTCGTAACACACTTTTTCAGGGCAGTTATCATGGAACTGACTTAATAGTTCTCCTACAAGATGATTTCGGCTACTCAATGCAGGCCGAATTAGAGTCGAGGAAAGCCAGTGAACAATGAGATCTATTGGGGAGGGCGTTCGGGCGCAAATGCTAAGCGATTAAGTTAGACCTATGTGGAATAAGCTATCTAGGTTGATGTTGAAAAAGACATGATCTTGCTGTGCTTGCGACACCATAATTCTGGGTGACGAAAAGGGATAAGGAGGAGAACGCCTTGCGGATGGCATACAAAGGAAAGGAAATATCAAATTTACTTCGCCATAGAATGAACAGTCGGATCTCTTTGGTTATGCGAGTGTTCGATGGGGAAAGACGCCAGCTTAAGTACCCACATGTTTGTGAAGCATTCATTCCATTTTTCGTTGCCTCCATGAATTTAGATACCAATCCCATACCTTTATGCTCGGAACATGCCACAACAAGCGCCATACACAATGTCAATATTTCACTTTCGACCATACACCAGACCATGAAGCCAAGCAAACCGTCGCTCAAACTGTACCCGATACTATCGAGCGTCCACCATCACATTCGATGGACCTAAGATATCACTGCATTTGCTGAACATATGAAGTAGTTATAATCTGGCCATTTTCCGGATTAAGAAAAATGGTTTAGTACCACTCACGAAAATGGGGTCCAAACAAAAAATCACTAGTTAGCGGCTTACCCATTTCACTCCCAACACTGCTAGATTGCTCGAAAAATTAGTTAGAATGTGAATCATGGACATTGTACATTGTCTTGGACTGTTTAACAACTCCCAGCATGGGTACCTCTCTTTTAAGGCTCCTGTACAACTCGTCAATCCCACTATCTGGATTACGTCACAGAATCCACTGACTTCATTTATGGAGTTATAATGTTGTTCCAGGGTATGCAAACAGCATGTGACCAGAAGCTTCAAACGTGGCTACTGAACAAATCGGATCATTTGTGCATAGAGACCCACCACTGGTTTGATTCGCATTACACCTAACTGGTCGTCTCTCCAAGTAGTCACTCTATGTGACCACAACTCTTCCCCACGTCCGAGCACTAGTGATATCATTCATGGGAGAGTAACCGGTCCTTCATTTTCCCACTCTATATCAACGATATCACGATGTACATCGCATAAGCCAACCAATCTTTTCATCGAGGACAAAAAAGATTGCTCATTAATTTCGACGAGACGAACTCCAAAGTACGACGCTGCTCGTTCAAGGAGATACATCGGTTCACTTGAGAAATGGTGCGACACTTGGTTGATGAAGTTCCCAGCTAGTAAATCACACACCACGTCACACGGATGTTTAAGTCCTGAAGAGTCTGCTAAACTGAATAATGAACACATCTGTGTAAGACTATGATCTAGGCGTACGATACTGTTCAGACTTAAATTTATCTGAGCAGGGTGAGTACCAAGTAGCAGGCGCCAAAGTATGCATGTATAACATATGCCATAAAGTCCATACAGTCACTACTAAAATGGAGCTTTTCAAAATATGCACATTTCCTATCTTTGAACTTGCAGCATCATCTATGGGAACATGCGTATGGATGACAGTAAGGCTCTGGAAAACTTGCAAAGATCATATAAAAAACGTTTCATAAGTAAATCGTCTACATTGAGCTATCAGGAGCGTTGTTAGCAGCTTAATATCAAGTCTCTTCTGTTGCGATATTTGGAACATAACTTGGTGCTCATACACGACCTCAGAAACCAAATAAGCTAGTCCAGTCTGTGCACATGCAAGTTGCAACATAACTTCACCCGGAAATTTCGCAACAGAATTTACAAACTAACTGTGCCAAGAAACAGGACAGATAGTTGATCCAACTTTTCCTCGTAAAATATGCTGTCGTTTGAAAAGGTTTACCAGCGACTATCAGTTCTTGTACAAATGAAACAACATTCCGCATTAAAATTGGAAATTCCCAAGAGCAGAAGTCGAAATTGACCATGTATTCGTTGGGCAACGCACCAAATGAGTTCTTCCAGGACAGATCAAATAATGTACTCAATGAGAAATGAACTTACACAAAACACAGAAACAACGAGTTATGTTTCAAAGTATTTGGACGCCACACGCACCAGAATACATATCTCAATCATATATGAGAATGGCCATTACTTACGAATGATGTGCCCCTAATTCAGAGACAGCCTCTCGCACAAGCAAGAAATATAGGCATTATGAGGGTTCGCGATATTCTTGATCTGGAGTCTCCGAGAGCGCAATGAACAACATCGGTATATGAGAGGTGAACTTATAACAGATCGTCTGGTCCTTAAGGATCCCAACCAAACATGAAGCTACAGCACCCTGATGAGAAGCTACCATCTTAGAGGATCGATACAATGCGGTCTGTTGGAATACCGTCGGAGCTTCTTCCTATGTGAGTCCCCAAAGTGGAAGGCTGTTCCGATTTCGACTATTTTCGTTCCCAGCTTAATCGATTTTAAAACGGTTTCATAGTGCATTGGTCTACTTAAATTGCGTGATCCAGTCAAACCCGTCTAAGGCGACCAGTTAAGGGACGGAGAAAATATGGTCAATTTGGACAAGTGGTCTCCATGGACAAATTAATGCATAAGGCCATTATTCCTGGGAGAAAAGTTTAAAGAACTTTTGGGCTGGTCGCCATAACAGGTTGCACTGTATAACCCGACTTACCGAGACACAACACATCCTAGCCCAATTGCTTAAACTTGTGAAACTTACGGTTAATCCACTGAGAAGCGCCATCAATTCCTACACGTTAATGTTTGGGATCATTGTCATCACTTACGGGGTTTGATAAGCTAACCGTACTACATCAAAAGCTTCAGTATACTGTAGGATGAAGAACCCCAGTTTACCTCATAACCTTTGCATATCGCTTTACCATCAGTTGCTTCATCAAAGTGTGAAATGTTAGGATGACGGATGCTCCACTGTGTCGGTGGGCTGCTTGTTACTTGCACGCAATCCGTACGAGGTGAATGAAGATAGAATTAATACTGAGACTTTCCTACTGATAAAAGGACGATTTCCACCTACTCGCTTGGCCTCCCCTACAAGTCAGCTAGTCGAGGATATCTGACGAAGAGTTTGGTACTTCGTGGCGTTACATCCGCGAAGTACCACACGTCATGCAACCAAAATGCGCTCTACTAAGTGTGCTTTGAGAGATCATAATAAAAGTAAGGGTTACAGCAGCAAACTTTGGAGCATGTTCCACTTATCAGTGACCTTAAGAGTATGAATTCACACAAAACTGTTTTCGGCTATACCGCTTTGTCAAATTAATTTGGTAACTCTTCAGGTTAGTGTTGTGCTTGATGTTCATTTGGACAGGCGTGTTATCAATTGGGATTGGTTAACAAAGTGTGTGACAGTCCATTGGCACAAATCGATCAACAAATGTTTTATTTCCAGACAGTGTGGGAGGCCTTTTCCGCATACGGACGAATCAAAAGCTATGCAGTTTCGCTTCACAAGTGATTTCATCCAACCAGTGGCGTCCCCCCGGACGGATGTAAAATAGTCGCCCCCTGGCAGTTGTATGTCCGCAAACAACCACAATTGCTATAGCCCTTAAACAGTTTGTTTCATATTACAATAAAAAGTTTTAAGCTTAGAATGCTGCCGTAAATTCATGCATTTTTATTTTTACAATACTCGTGAACAAAATTTACGAAGATAATTTTCGTGCATCACTCGAAGCAAAAGTATTGATATCGATGTGAAACTTCAGTTTACTGGCAAGTTCCCTCTCTATGTGAAAACTGCCATTGCGTGAGCATTTTCTAGTACGTTGATGATTGAAGGTAGTTCCTCATAAGCAAGCGTTTTGAGAATGCACTCTCGCAGCTGGCAGTGCTAACAGTTCGGGTAAGAAAGATGCACACTACAATCCCCCATGTGATATGGGGGTATAAAGAGCAACAGTGCAGCAGGCCCATTAATTTTGTCGCTTCATGAAACTTTCACAACTTGTTGCAATCGTCTTACGGCAAGGAACTTCGATGTTCTACATCACTATCAACTACGCTAAACAGAGAAGCATAGTTATCAACAAGTAGCTTAGACGGTGTGAGAAAAGCATAATTGTTTGCAAGATCATGAATTTCCTGAAATCTATGGCATTTCATCAGTCAACCTGTCTATGACAGACAGCAAGTCTCCTTTTTAACAGTACCGAACCCCATCGATATTTCAGACTTTTAGACACCATGTATTCATTTTTCGGCGCATTCGACGCTTCGTGCTTATTCCCAATTCAGTGAAGTGTTTTTGGATTTGTCCATTGTAATGTCCACCATTTTCTCCCTATCCTGAGGAAGGCAAACTCTTAACGCCGTAACCTCGACAGAACCTTGTTGCAGATCCAGTTCTTTAGATTAGACATATCTATGC